CGGCTGGCTTTGTAGCCGGTAAGCTTTGATCACAGTCGTCAAGTTCAACAATTTCTTTCTCTTGACCGCCTGTGTCAAGCGTTGGTTTGATGTCCGAGAGGTAACACTCTCTCGCCATCTTTTGGTCCCCACTCAAGGAACCGACTGTGCCATCATCCCTTTCAAACTTTATCAACATTAGAGATGGGATGATGACTGCCTTTGAGAGGTTAAGGGTTGGACGGCCAATAATCAGATTGTAGGCAGTCAGCTCTTCTACAACAAGAAACTTGACAACCATATGCCGGCCCTTACCCTTCTCTCCGAACCGGATGGGTAGATCAATCATGCCCACCGGATGTACTACTCCTCCCCCAAAACCTACAAGAGGGTATGAGGCCGGAAGCATGCTACTGGGCTTATACTTGAGTTTCTCCAAGCACCGGTAGCTGATGAGGTCGGATGAGCTCCCAGTATCAATCAAGATCCGGCCAACTCTTTGATTGGCGATTTTGCACTCGATGACTATGGGGTCATCATGAGGCCGCCTGACCTCGCCCCTATCTCTCTCGGAGATGTTAACTTCCGGAAATGAATATTCAGACGACTGGCCCTCATCCACTGAGTTGACCAGTTTCCGAATGTTGTCTTTTGTGCCCCGGATGGTAGGCCCACCTCCCGCAAATCCACCGGCTATGGTCAGGATGGTTTCCTCATCCGTATCCGATTGAGTAGCCGTTTTCTTTGGGGGTGGTCCTCTTGCTTGTTTAGGAGTACCCCTTGACTTGGAAAGATAAGATTTGAGAGCCCCCTCATCAGCGAGCCGGTCGAAGAGCCGCCTGAGGCTAAAGCAACCCTCAGTGTCGTGGCCAATTTCCTCGTGAAAAAGACAATATTTGCTCTTATCCCGGGCGCTTAGAGGACTCTTCATAGGAGACGGTTTTTCAAGATTCAACCGGTCCTTTACTTCATTGAGAATGGAGGCACAGTCCTTGTTGAACTCGTACTTTGGCACATACGGATCCGACCTCTTCCTTTTCTGGGAAGGTTGTCCGGATGAGTCTGCCGCCCATACCCCCTTTCTCTTGTCTTCCTTTTTGGCCGACTGGGTAGGCCGATTCTCTTTTTTATCGGATCTTTTGTAATCCGTTGGAAGTTTAACAGCACACAATTCCACTGCCTGAATGTAGGCCTCCGCCTTCATGAGTGCCTCGTGAAGAGTGGAGACCCTCTTCCTAACCAAGTCAAACTTAAAAGTTGATCCATCTTTTAAGCCTTTGAAGAAATCAGTATAGGCAACGTCATCAGACAATCCATGGATTTGGATCCTCATCAGGTTAAACCGCCTGACATATGACCGGAGCCCCTCTTTGTCTCCCTGTTGTATTGCCCCTAGATCAAGGCTTGTTTTCTTGGCAGGGATGTTCATAGAAAAGTTGGACGTAAACCAGTAGGCCAAGGTCCTGAAATTATTGATGCATCCGGCTGGGAGGTTACCAAACCAACGTTGAGCAATCCCTTTCAACGTAGCCGGGAAGCATCGGCACCATGCGGCATCATCCAAACCCTGCAAATACATCAGGTTGGTGTATGCCATAAGGTGATCTTCCGGGTTGGTGGTACCGTCGTAGGCGCCTACCAACACGTTTTTGATTTTAGATGGCTGGGTCATCTCGGTGCTTTCTCTGGAGAACGCCGTTGGCTGTTCCCCAAGGTTGAGCAGCCGGAGCTGCCAGTCCATAGGCTGGACGGGCGACTGATGCTGCCCCCCCCGAAAATACCTGCCTGTGCATAGGGGGATCCAAAGGGCGTATACGGTGTTCCATGCACTGCCGGTTGGATCATATGGGGGCCGGATCGAGCGGAAACCTCGCTCGTCCGGCTGTCATTGTTTGTTCTCGAGTGCCTTCCTGAGGTGGCACTGAAGCTGTCTCGAAAGGTCGATGTTGATGCCGACTCGGATCGCTGAGTCTTTTTATCTTGGATGAGCGTCCGGGCATCAGAATAGACTTTCTTGGTTCCATCCGGCTGAATGTGCCGGACGGGCTTTCTGACTCCATCTATAGGAGTGTGCATCTTTGAGAAATCAAAGAGCCTAGCTGGCATGTCTGACTTCGGATGTGGGGTAGATGCTCTACCCTTTACTGTTTTGGCTGTCTTTTTACCGTGACGCCTTTCTTCCGCCTGACCCTTACGGGGGCCGGCTGTGGAGTCCAGAAGGCCTTTGATCTCTCCTTTGAAGCTCATCATCATATTCATGAGCTCATCTCTGGAGACTGGGGAGTCTCCAGCGGTAGAGGTTAACCCAAGCGGCCCCCTAGTTGGCTTGCTAGGAGCCGCCTGGTTCCCTTCCCGTTCTCTCTTATCTTTGGAACGGGTGTTCTTGGTCCTCAAAGAGCCATCCGCAGCAGTGTAGGCTTCCAAGTCATAGTTATCGGCTGTATCTTGGTCCGAATGGACCTCAACCTCCCCAGTAGGCAGATTGCCTTTACCAGGTAGTATAGGCTCAGATGTCATCTAGAAAGTACTCTCCCCACAGACGGCGCCAGATGTTTGGGGGTTTTCTATGTGTCCTTCGGGAGAGTTACAATTTCCTAGCAGACTTCCTTCTTACGCCTGTACCTGCACCTAGCAGACTTCCTTCTTACGCCTGTACCTGCACAAGTAACGGAGACTCCGGATGGGGGGTGGGAGTTCCGCCTCCGAAGATTAAGTTAGTATCTTTTCGAAGTGGAATAAGAACAGTAAAAGCTTCTCGGTTCGAGAGCGTTTCAGTAGGTTTGGGCTTTGTTTGGTTTTTTTGTGGTTGCAATTAATGTATGTGTGTCATAAATGAGGTCTACCCTTACTATTTATAGTAAGGGTGAACTGTACCTCAATTAGGGTATAAGGGACACGTGTCTGCAAAGGAATTGGGCCTTTGCAGACCGCTGAAAGATTGACACGTGTCAAGCCTTTATTGGGCCACGTGTCTTAGGGTATTTTCACCCTAAACAGCGATCATTGGGAAGAATCAAAAGGCACAATCTTGCGAAGAAAAAGTAAAAAGAAGCAAAATTGGGAAAATACAAACAACAAAAGGTACAAAGTAAGTACCTTTAAGGAAAAAAGTTGCAGAAGCAACAGAGTACAACAATAATGGCGGAGATAAAAGCCCAAGCAAGACAAAGGTCCGAATCTGTAATTAAGAAGAACAAAGAAGGAAAACGTTAACAAAAGAGCGAGAATTAAAGGAGAGAAAGCAAGTAAAGCGAAAGTCAGGACAAAAATAAAGACGAAGAAGCAAGAACTTACCACAACAATGGAGGATCAGAGACGCTTGACAGAGGAAGAGCAAAGAGCGAAAAGTTCAAAATGCCAAAGTAACGAAGAGGGAAGATGAAAAATTGGAGGCGTAAAAGAAATAAGTGAAAAAGGGGGACAGTGAAATTAATATGGAGTAAATGGGCAGTTAGACAAAAGGCAAAGCCAAACCGCCATGTCACTTCAGTAAAATCAAACTGACAGCCCGGATTTCCAACACGTGTCCCATCATGCAAATGCGATTCCCGCCTCAAAAAAAAAAAATGAGAAGAGAGCACTTCAGCGGGAGTGATCGAAAATCCTCTCTGCAAGCTCGTCATTTCTCAGACTTCAGCGGGAGTGATCGAAAATCCTCTCTGCAAGCTCGTCATTTCTCAGACTTCAGCGGGAGTGATCGAATATCCTCTCTACAAGCTTGTCATTTCTCAGACTTCAGCGGAAGTGATCGAAAATCCTCTCTGCAAGCTCGTCATTTCTCAGACTTCAGCGGGAGTGATTGAAATTCCTCTATGCAAGCTCGTCATTTCTCAGACTTCAGCGGGAGTGATCGAAATTCCTCTCGGCGAGCTTGTCACTTCTTAAGTCTGGAACTAATGTCACCATACAAGCAATAGGACAACGAACTCAGCAATAGCAATTCCATACCTCCCAAGTCTCCAGGGCGCCTCAACACCCTAGAGACTTGAGGGGCTAGGAGTGTGCAGGTTATTTCAGTCAGACCACCTGTTGAGTCAGAGCCGATAAGGCTACACGCTCAGAACAGCTGGCATGAAAGAACCTCACGCCATCTCTTGAGGGGCTAGTTGTAGGGGATAGCTCCTGCCGAGCTATTCCTTCCAGCTGGGCTCAGTTGAGAAGAACGTTCTTACAGGCAAAGAGTCGGCATGAGTGACCTCATACCACCTCTTAAGGGGCTAGTTGTATAGGATAGCTCCCTCTGCACTATCGCCCAGCCCCCAGGGTGCACACTCACCGCCGAATAAGCAGCTAAAGGAGGGCTCATCAGCCCGCAGGCGGGCTAGGCTAAACTCTCCACGAAGGAGATAGTACGCCTATAAATAGAGGGTAAAGTACAACGGAAAAGAGGTCAGACACTCAAGTTATTACACTTTCTATATCTCTCTAAGTACACTTTCTCTCTCTAAACACTCTCTAACTTAAACTTCGGAGGGGGGTTCCTCGAGCCACCCTCGAGGGCAGTTTACGTGTGCTACCGTGTGTAGGTTGTTAACGAGACCCAGCTTACCCAGCAGAACCCTTGGATCCATACCTGGAACAATAATAATAGTAGTAGTAATAATAATAGTAGTAGTAGTAGTAGTAATAATAATAGTATTAGCAGTAGCAGCAGTAGTAGCAGCAGCAGTAGTAGTAGTAGTAGCAGCAGCAGCAGCAGCAGCAGCAGCAGCAGCAGCAGCAGCAGCAGCAGCAGTAGTAGTAGTAGTAGTAGTAGTAGTAGTAGTAGTAGTAGTAGTAGTAGTAGTAGTAGTAGTAATAATAATAATAATAATAATAATAATAATGTTGAAATCTGCTCTGCTTTGCTCGGCCCGGCTCTGCTCTACTCTGCCCAGAAGCTCAAAAGAACAGAGTCTAAGACCAATCCGGTCTGATTTTTTGATCACCTCTATATATATATATATATATATATATATATATATATATATATATATATATATATATATATATATATTCTTCTTTTTTTTTTTTATCACCTCAGCTTGTTACTAACGTGTGTAAAAATAATAGCCGACCTCGGACCTCCCAATAATGTCACACCCTGGTCTCTCTCTATCTTTTACGCCCTGTCTTCTTTGAATCCCTCTACACTAGTCGCTCTCTCTCTCTAGCTTCTCCCCCTAATCTCCTCCCATCCCTAAACTTATGGCGACTGCTACTCAAACTAATTCCCCTTCGCAAATTTCAGACCTCGAAAACCCTAACAAAACCCTAATCCTAACCACAACGAATCTCACCGATAAAACAACCAAATCTTCCGATGAATCTGCCGCCGCCATTGATGCTGTTGTTAACAGCAAGGATTCAGAGGAGTCGATGGAAGGTACTGATTCCACCGCCGTTGTTTCTCCTACTGGAGGCTCTGCTAATGATATTGAGAAAAAGGTTCGCAGGGCTGAAAGATTCGGCGTTCCTGTTCAGTTGTCTGAGCAAGAGAAGCGCAGTTCTAGGGCTGAGAGGTTCTGTTCTTACTCTTCTATGCTTCTGATTTATGTTTTGTTCATGAAATTTCCGATTAATTTTTGGTGTTTTTGCCATTTTTATGATTGATTGATTGGTGCATGGGTCAGTGTAGAAAAGATTCAGCTATGATTTTTTATTTATTTTTTTAATTTTTATGATTGATTGATTGGTGCAAGTACTTATCCGGCGATATTTAGTACTCGTGTGTCGATCTTGATTTACATCTATGTATATATTCGTCTGTAATCCTGTAAATTGATGCAAGGCTACATGCAGAAGGGGTTTGGTTGGGGGGATGCATTGAGTTCATTGATTGTTGGTGGAAGTATATGTTTGTAATAATTACTGTACTACTCCTTTCTGTTTGTATATATATTTTTTTGGAAAAATTGCTAAAAATAATCCCCAACTTTGCTCCATCCTCTCAAAATAAAATTTGTCAAAAATATCACCACCTTTCATCGATCTTCCGAGAATAAAACGATCTTTGGATTATTCCAAAATAGAACAACCTTTGATACACATCTGCCAAAAATAGAACAAAAAAACCTGTTTACAGGTTACAATGGACACATGTCACATGTGTGATTGGTTTAAAAAACTTTAAAAATCTAAAATTAAAAAAAAAATCCTGAAAAAAAAGAAAACTCTTCCCCTTCACGGCAGCAACCCCGCAACCACCTGCCAGGGCTGCCACCACCGCCGCCGACCAAAGCTCATTATCGGCAGTATCAGCGTGACCACCCTGAGTGCCCGACCACCCAGCCCCACCTCTTCCCTTAACCACCTTCCTCCACCCTAAAACCCTTCTCCCTCCCCTCGAAAGACCCCCTCCCCTCCCCTGTGCCGGCGAAACCACTTCGCCCCCCACCGGCCGTCTCCACCTCCTTTCCCCTTTAAACCACCATCCAAAAACCCTAAAACCCCAAAATCGAGTGGTTTTAGGGTTATAGGGTTTTCGACCTTTTGGTGGTGGGTTAAGGGGGGGGGGGGAAGGGGTGCAGACGATCGGCGAAATGGTTAAGCCGGCACGGGGGAGGGGTTTCAGGCGCCGGCGGTGGTGGCAGCCTGCCAGGTGGTGGTGGTGGGAGGGATTTTTTTTTTTTTTTTATTTATTTTTTAAAAAATTTAAATTTTTTTTTTAAAAAATTGTTAAAAAAATTGATCATTGATAGTGTGACACGTGTCACAGGTAACGAACCGGTAATGTATTTTTGGCAGATGTGTATCAAAGGTGGTGTTATTGTGGAATAATCAAAAGGTGGTCCTATTTAGGGAAGACCACTTAAAGGTGGTGTTATTTTTGACAAATTTTCCTATTTTTTAATAATCCCAACTTTATACTCTATCCGTCCAAATTAGTCCCAACCGGTAATCCAACTTGCTAATACAAGTTACCAGCCACGTGTCATTCCATAATTGGCTAAAAAAATGTTAAAAAAAAAAGAAAATAAAAAAAATAAATTAGAACCACCAGCAACCTTAAACGGTTCAACCAATCAAGCACCCAACCACCCCCACTGCCACACAAGCCCAGCCTAACCCCCTGCCTTCCAGGCGCCGGCGCATCGCCTAGACACCCTCCCCTTCCCTGGTGCCTGCCTCGACTGCCCTCCCTCTTCCCCTCCAATTTCAGGAACCGTTTGGGATCGAAGGCGGTTTAGCTCCATTGTCGAGAGGGTATTTCTTTGGGTGAAAGGACGATGATTGAAGGTGGAGATGACTTGAATAGGAGATTAAATAATTGTGTTGCTCTTTGTGACGGAGCGGTTGACTCATTGATCTCTTTAATGGCGGATGGTGGTTTAAGGTGAAGTGAGAGGGCTGCCGGTTGGTAGAGGGGTACAACAGGGTCGACTTTTTATAGTCGGGTCCGGCGCCGACAAGGGGATGGGGTAGCGATGGCTAGAGAGGAGGGCCTGGGAGGTGCTGGGGAGGGGATGATGGTATTTTTATTTTTTTTATTAATTAATTAGGTAATAATCATAATAATTTTAATAATATTTTTTATTATTTTTTACTAGTCACGTGGTGACACGTGTAAATTAAACATAAAAAAGAAAAATCTTACATAACAGGTAAACGGTAACTTGGGATTGTTTTGGGCGGATATAGTATAAGGTTGGGATTATTGAAAAATAATCAAAAGTTGGGATTATTTTGAGCGGATGGAGCAAAGTTGGGATTATGCTTGTTAAATTTTCCTATTTTTTAAAAAAGTATAGATTTAACACGGTAATTACCAATTAATTAGACAATGTGTTTTGGAATCAACTTGGTATATACTAAAAAGAGGAGTTTTTTTTGGATAAAATAAATAATTTTGTGACATGAATTCAAAGCATAAAAAAAAAGTTAATTAGTTAATACATGAACAAGATATTAACATTAGCACTGATTTTTTGTAATAAAATCAAATAAAGTAAGAGTAATATAAAAGAAAATACTACCTCCGTTACATATTATGTGCAACAAAAACATTGACACGGACTCCTAGACAAAATTTGTATGTAAGTGGTAAATGGAGAGAGAAATATAAAAAAGCATGTGATGAGGAGAGAGATAGAGAGAAATGACAACCAATAAAAGGAAATAAAACATTTGTTGCAAATAAAGTGTAACATCTATTTTTAGTAAATGTTGCACATAATATGAAACGGAGGTAGTATATCAAATGGAAAGAATCAAAGGGTTCAAAAAGAAATATGTAAATATCAAAAGGAATGCATGAATTAGTAGATTTTAGTTTTAGGTTGGTTTTAGACATTTCTCCGGTTTGTGTTTTATGTGATATTAATTCGCAGATTAAGGAAATGCAATGAAAAGAGTAAAATTGATAATAATACCTTTTTTATATTCAAAAAATAAATCTATGACAATTGCAATATCAATTTTGTTTTTGAATGTTGAAATGAAATATCAATTGATAATAACTATCAAATTGATATTGCAACTGTCATAGATTTGCTTTTTGAATATTAAAGGCTTTTAGGAAGCATGAGTGGATAAAGGGTTATTTAGCTCTCTCTTGGATCCTATTTCACTTGTTTGAATTAGAGGAAATGGAGTGAAGGGGAAGGGAGCAAGCTCAAGATTAGAGGAAGAAAGGGGAGGGAGAGTTTCCATCCTCTTTAGTAGACATCATCTCTACAAAATTGAAGTAATTTTGTGAGAAATGGAGAGATTCCATCCTCTTTAATAGACATCATCTCTAATAGACTAACGCACTTACTCTTTCTTACTCATTGAAAGTTTTTTTTTTTTGTTAAAAATCACAAACGATGTCGGAAACGAAATACCGACCCCAAACGGAGTTTCCGCCATCATAGCGCTTAACCTCGGATGGGAGACTAATGATGCAAATGATATTGAGTTTCGAAAATGTCAGAGACAGTCCGTTCTCTTTTATTTGCTATCCGAATAAAGTGTTAAAGATGAGTGTTATTTGCTTCCTTTATCACCAAAGGTACAATAAACATAATATTAATTCACTACTATTTTTGGAAGATTATGTACTTTCCCCTTTCATCTTTTTATTATTCACATAAGTAGTCTTTTTGTTTTATGTTATGAATTGGTTCAGATACCTTTCTTCTTCTTCATCATAGTACTACTCGAGAGTGATCTTCCATATTCATTCCAAATGTCAATGGAGGAATTTGGTTTATTAAAGAGGAAGGAACCCTCCATTTCCTTGCCTTCCAGTGCCCAATGCCTTATCTAAATAAGGGACATTTTTATTCCCTCCCTTCCTTTCCGTCCTAATATTCCTATCCAAACATAGTTTAAATCTTAATGTATATGCCCCCACAACTCATTATTACTATTCTTATCTAATCTTATGGCAACCTATGTCAATATAATAAAACATAAGTGCTGTGTAATGCACAATTTTTTCACATGTAATCATCTTCTAATGAATTATCTATCTAATATATAAAGTGAAGAAATATTTTGTGTGAAAAACATCACTTTCCCAAATCACCCCCTTTCACCTTTGTTTTATTTATTATTTTTATTTTTGTAAACAATATAATTTTAAAAAATAAAAAACTATCATCTTATTCTATTTATTAGGATAATACAATTATAGAAGTACTTATCAACCTTTTTTTTATACTTACTCAATATAATATAATTAATGATTTCATCAACTATTTTTTCAAATTACAAGTTTTATTTTAGTACTTTTTTTTAATCAACAATTTTAAATTTGCACTTATAATATTAATAGAGCTTCTAGGTTTCTTATGTTGTGCACACACATGCCTCACTTGTGTTTCTTAGCTTGTAATGTTAGTTCAAATATAAGTGAAATAGAGTAAATTGATTTTAAAACCTATACCAAAGACATTGAGGTGTAACTGAAGCATTAGGCTTTATGAAAAAATGAAAGAAATTTAGAGCTATGGGGTTCTATTTAATATAAAGACAAATTTTAGGTTAACACCCATTTGATATACAAATATATACCTCCACCTTGGTCAATGCACAATTTTTACTAATGTTATAATGAATTATAATGTTAATTCAAATTATAGTTTACCAGCAAAAAAATAAATTTTTTAAGTGAAACGAAGTAAATTGATTTAAAAACCTATACCAAAGACATTTATGTGTAACTGATACTTTAGGTTTTATGAAAAATGTAAGAAATTTAATAAAATACAAACTTTAGGTTATCGATTTACAAATACATACTTCCATCCTTATTTTGTTGACATGCTTTGACCGACAAATGCATTTTTTATAGTTGAAAATATAAATGGTGGGAAATTTTGCACCAAATTTTGTCAAATACTATGTACTATTATTATTTTTTTTGTATGATGCATGCTATTATTGATATGAATTTGAAGAATAAAAAAATGAATTATGTACAATTATATACTCGCTTCGTTTTTCTAATTTCCATTTACTTTTTCTTTATTCCTTTTATGACGACTCTTTATTCATTTTTTTTTAATCATAAACAACTCCACTTTGTGGACCTAATTCAAATTAATATAAAAAAGTATCCACATTTATTACATTTCCTTGGTTTGTGGAGTTGGTAACACTTAACAAAACACACAGAGGAAGTACATTACTAAAATGAATTTTCTTGGTGTAATTGAAATAAAATTTATTGCCAAAATAATGATGTTGGAGCAATTAAAAAGTACAATGATAATGATATATGAATCTTGGATAATAATATTGTATTAAATATATTAACTTATCTATGTTCATTTATTTTTAAAACACCGAATAGATATATATGAAAAAATACTTCCTTGTTTTAGTTGCATCACTTTCCTAAAACAGAAATATTAAATTAGTTGCATTACTTTCCTAAAACGGAAATTTTAAATAGGTTGCATCGCTTTCCTTTTTAACTTACAAATTCTCTGTATCTTCTCCTATTACATCAGCCCCTATTTATTATTTCCCTCTACCTCTCTATAACCCAAAATTTGCCTAAGGGTCCGTGAAAACTAATGTGATGCAAGTAAATAAAAGCAGAGGAAGTATTAAATTATTCTATGTCATAAATTACAATTGTCAAAATGGAATGAAAATATTTTGAGTTAATGAAGATTTGGCATGAAAAAGGAAAGGAAAAAAATGAAGGGAATTTTTTTTTACCAGTAAATGACGTATGTCACCCTTGGTTTTGCTTTTAGTATATACTCCCTCCGTCCCTTATTGATAGTCTCTTATGGACAAATTTCACGGGAATTAATAAGCATAAATAAGTAGTAGTCTAAGTACATTGAAATGATAAATTTAAATTGGGTATGCAAAAAGTAAAGAGAGAAAGTAATAAAAGTACTTGGAAAAACAAAATTTGCATGGGAAAGTTAAATTTGCACAAACATTGTTGCAAATCGGAGGGAATTTTGGTAAAAAAAAATAATATTAATTGTTGTTGAAAAAAACAAATGGAATGAAAATTTTGGGATTGATATTTAACCAAAAGGGACTATCAATAAGGGACGGAGGGAGTAGTTACTGATTATTATAGATTTTTGTAAAAGTAAACAATGTTGTTACTTTTGAGAATTAGATACCTAGAGCGGTTTGTTATTTGTCATTTTGTGGTATTGTAATTTTATTAAGTAGCTAAACTTCTAAATATAAATGTCTGATTTGCACCTAGCAGGTTTGGCGTGGGTGCTGGATCAGAAGCTTCCAAGACATCTGAGGATCTGAAGAGAAAGGCTAGAGCTGAGAGGTAAGGCGCAAGTTCTCACGAGTTGCTTAGTTTAATCTTTTAGTATATATTTTTTTTTCCTAGCGAGTCTGCTCCCATTTACATTTCCTATTCCAGTTTTCTAATATCCTTAGCACAATATCCATTATTACTCTGTATAGCTTCTCTATAACCTTACATGGTATGTGAAACTTGTTTCAGGTTTGGGCTTTCTCTGTCAGCTGATGAGGAAGCAAAAAAGTCAGCTGATGAGGAAGCAAAAAAGAAAGCTCGACTTGCCAGATTTGGTTCTGACACAAAGACAGATACTCTTGAAGAAGAGAAAAGGAAAGCACGGGCATTGAGGTCAGGTTTTTTGTCATTAATATTATACTGTTTTGATATTGTTATTATTCAAATGGGGATGACAGTGGTATGTCTCTGGATGATGTATGCTATTGGCGATCTCTCTTGCTAAGTATTAAATTTGTTTTTATCATGATATTGATATATGTACACAGGTTTTCTCAACCTTCTTCAAATGCTGTGCAGCATGTCAATGGAAAGGAAGATGTTGGTTCGGTAATCATTGTGTTCTACTGGATGAATTTTATAATCCTATTCGTATATGTTCATAATATGTTTTGTTCTTAGTTTGCTCAATTTTACCCTTTTTCATTTTTACAGAATCCTGCAATAGCAGGCAATGCTGTTGAAGGAGTTTGACAATCTGGAGTAGTTTATTACTATAGTAACTAGTAAGACATCTATTTATATCTAAATTCACTTTTATCCCATGCTGCACAGGTTTTTTGTTTTTCTAATTGAGTTTTCTTTATACTCTGGTTTTCTGCAGGTGTAGAGTAACCTTTTTCTCTTTGTTCTATGGCCTCAATACCTTTGACAATCACTTTTCAAGTTATGCTGTTGAAGTTTTGGGTCAGTGGAAGATTTTTCCTTTTTGTTAGACCTTAATACCCAGCAAGTCTAAGATTAGTTGAGAATTTCCTCCTGAATGGCTAATTTGCTAGAATTATTGGCAAAAATATATGAACTGAATCCTCTATATGTAAAATGCTGACTAAATGCAAGCTTAAGTAGGTTATTTATCTTGGATGAGGAGAGATTGCAGACCTGTTATAACTCCCTAGCTTGATGGCAAATTAATGTCAAGCTGCTAACATTGTCCTGGTAACATCCAAACAAGTTTTTATTGACAAGCTGCTATGTTGGTATTGTGTGAGTTTACTCTCTTGAAAAAATTGGTTTCCCCTTAATTTGTGACAGTTTTCAAAAAAGTAGCAGTACCTCATGGGATTAAGATTATAGGTGCAGCATTTGTCGTATGTGCAGGTTATGGGTTTTTGGTTGGGATGGGAAGATTTTGTTTGTTTGGATTGATAACTGCTTACGATTCTGTGAATCTAGGAGAAATTATTGTTAAGTAATGCTATGTGCCTATGTATGTGCTATTGCTTTTAATTTAGTACCCAAAAAAAAAAAAGAGAGAGCTTTTTGTTAATGATTTTCTTGAGAAAAAAGAAGTTAAATCGATTTAATCACTTGGTCTTTCTTTATTTCTCCTCTATGTTTGGCGCTTTAATTACTTGTTGATACGTTTTGAGATGCAATAGCCATTAGGGGTTAGCGTATGTCACTGAGTTGCAGTTAGGGATAGCTGATGAATTTAAATCTCTTTAGACGAAGTATCATGACTGGGTAAATGTGTGTCTAATATTGAGCTGCTGTTGGTGTTAATCCCTGAAGCCTGCAATGTGCATAGTTATGATGTTCTTAAGGTTGCTAGCGTGTCATGTCATTCAGGAGGTTTTCTAGAGTATATTAGGTCTTTGCTGGGTACTTGACTATTCGTTGCGGATGTGTTTGGATGGAAGCTAATGATATGTGGGCCTAGTTGTATGGAAGTTTGAGCTGCAGCTTCTGTAAAGATGTTATATGCATGAACATTCTAGCTTGGAAAATTTATGTCGACTGTCAAACATTTTGGAAAGATGACCATGTAACAGCTCAGTATTGTAATTTTATAAATTTTTTATTGAATATTATTTTCCATTGCCACTTATTTTTTTTTGTACATAGAGGAGAATCAGGAGATTGTTAAAAATCATTGAACCTCCATAATCAAATCAGAAGAAATAGGAAAAATTAACATAAATAATCCCAAATATTATCTACCTTCTCATTTTAAACCCAACAATACTTTAACTCACGATAATTCTGACTATTAACCCACTTTTCACACATTAGTCTCCATTAGGCCTGTTCACGGATCGGATATCCGATCCGAAATCGGATCAGATATCCAAAGACTCGGATTCTGCAAAATTGCTTCTAATAGTCTAATCCCATCAAAAACCATTCATTTCCTTGAAATAACAGCAAAACACCAACTCCCTCATTATAAAAAGAAATGATTAAGCCTTGTTGCATAGCTCCTATATGTTGGCAATTGTGTGACTATTCTGAAGTTGGTGTAAGGAAGTGGTTCCAAAGATGCCAACATGTATGCTTACATGTATAACAAAGCAATAGCTGACTAATCTTACAACAGGAAACGACTTAAGGAGCGGGAAATCAAAAAGCGTAAATAATTTTTATTTTTCTGTTTCTTCTCCAAAAACTCAGAAAAAGGGGGTGGAGTTGAAGGTATTCAAATTGGAGGCGAAACCAGAATTGAATTCGAAAGACATTGATAAAATTAGAGTGGGTTTGACGAACAATTAATTTAATACTCCAATTGAGAAGATGCGAAATCGTTTAGAGGATATATTGGGGGTGGATTTAGCTAAAGCCATGCGTGATGTTGAGGAAGGTGGTCATGGCTGCGCAAGGGAGCTACGGTTTGATTGTGAAAATGTAAGTATTCGTAATTGTGGTTGACTATATTTGTTATACGCTTTTAATCATCAATTGATTGAAGGAATTTGTGGTTAGGGTTTTTCGAATGTTCATAATGTTGGTGGATCTTTTGTTAAAGAGTAATGCATGTGTTATTCTGGTCATTGTGCGGTGAATATAGTTGTAGTAATGTATCGAATTGCTCTTAATATGATGAATTTGTATAATTATCGTAATCTGAATGTAATTGGTACATTTTGTTAAAAATATTGGTTGTGGGAGCTACTTTATCAGTATGTGTATTTAAAGGGGCTTGAAATATCAATGACAGTAGAAATGATTCATAATGATTTGGTATGTTATTGTTACAATATGATAAATTCATAAATATCAAAGATAGTATAAACTATTTTGTGATTTTGTTTGTTAATGTTGGTATGTGCTAAAATATATGATCAATGTAGTTGATTTGTTACGTTTGTGTATTTATGTGTAGTTTGGTTTATTGATATATGTAGGGTGTTAGTGTTGGACTTGATTTTGAAGATTATGAAGAAGAATGTGATGGTGGTATAGGAGTTGAGGGTGAATTGATTAGTAGTGATGAAGATGGTGAAGGAGAATTTGAGTATTTAGATGAGGATGAAAGCGAGGGAGATGGTCAGGGAGTAGAAAATGATGAGTTGGAAGAAGCAGAAGAGGTTGTAGGAGATGTTGGTGCAAGTGGATCAGAGTTTACAACTCCTAAGAGGAATAAGGGGATGGTTGAGACTGTTTTTGGGAGGAGGAGGAAATACCACCCCCTGCGGTGGGCATAGTATTTGGTAGTTGGGAAGAAGTAGATACCTATTTTTGGAAATATGGTAGACAGAGGGGGTTTGGTATTGTTAGGGCTGCAGCTGGGTGGGGGAAGGTAAAGAAGGAATTGGGAGAAGGAAGGTGTTGTATGCAGAAAAGGAATGCAAAGTGGACATGTGAATGCTACGGGAAACCTTCAAGGAAGCGTAAAGTGGATCTTTTAAAGGAAGGTTTGGCACATGAAAAGGAAACAACTTTGAAGCGCAAATCAAAGAAATGTGGTTGTCTAGTTGAGATGTATGCTAGTGTGAATGAGGATGGGTATTGGGTATTTCGAAAGTAGAATTTGGAGCATGATGGTCACATTGTTACACCTAGATAGGCGAAGGATGTATCGATGTTTCGGAAGCATGAGTTGGTAGAAAAGAACAGTTACTTGGTGAAGCAGGTACAAAATCCGAAGAAGTCTAGGGTAAAAATATCTCAGATGTATAGTTCTTTTGCTCGTGAGCGCAATGGAGTGGAGGAGATGGCTTTTATTCAGAAGGACTTGGAGAATGCAGTCGCGGAGAAGAAGAAACTTGAGCTTATGGAGAGCGATGCTAATGGGATGATTGAGTACTTTAACAAAATGAGTTCAGATAATTAATTTTTTTTTTCATATATGTAGGTTTGGGAAGGATGGTGCGTTGCAAGATGTTGTATGGATAGATGCGCGTAGTGGGGCAGCATATGAGGAGTTTTGCGATGTAGTGTGTTTTGATAGCACCTACTAGACTAATAAATTTCATCTTCCTTTTGCGGTATTCCTTGAGGTCAACCACCATGGGCAAAGTATATTGTTTGGGTGTGCCTTAATCTCTCGAGAGACTGCGGAGACTTATGAATGGGTTTTCAGAACACGGTTGCACTGCATGGGGGGTAAAGCTCCTTTAGCTACCCTTACTGATCAAGATCCTGCTATTCGGAAAGCTATACACATGACAATGCCTGATATGTGCCACGGGTGGTGCATATGACACATTCTTCAGAAGTTTTGGGAAGTACCTAGGTAAGAATGAGGACTTCGATGCAATAAAGGAGGAGTTGGAAAATATTATCTATGGCAGTTTGGATGTTGATGAATTCGTTGATCGTTGGGAGGAAGCAGTTTTGTACTACGAGTTGGTAGACAATGAGTGGCTTGAAGGTATTTATGAAATACTTTACTTTCTTGTTTAATTGTATGAAATGTTTCTGGTGCAAAATGTATGTTAAATTTTATTGTTTCAAGTTATTTGATATTTTCAGTTTCACAGTAACACAGTCACACTCACACACATAGTCACACTCAGAATTATACTGAGATTGTATTGGCCATTGTATGTGATTGATACTTGGATACCCTGTTGTTTGTGTGAACAGGGCTGTATGAGGAGAGGCACATGTGGGATCCCTGCCTATTTGAAGCATTTGTTTTGGGCGGGAATGAAAACAATACAAAGGTCGGAGAGTTTCAACCATTTTTTCGAAGGATATGTTGACAAGAACCACCTTGTCTGAGTTTGTTGTTCGGTATTGTGATGCTTTGTCAATTAGAGCAGAAGCTGAAAGAATAGTCGACTCAAACACACTGCGGTATGTCAGTAGTCACTGATTTCCCAGCGGAGTTATTGTTCCAAAAGTGCTATACAGATGCAAAATTCAAAGAAGTGCAACGGGAGTGCACTAAGATTTTGTATTTTCGTTGCTTGGATCAAATCGAAATAGGGATTAATATGGTTGAGTTTGTAATTGAGGATCGTATTTGGGTGAAGCCTAAATATACAAGGAAAGAGGAAGTGACGAAAGCACGGAGATGCTATAGGGTGTGTTTTGACAGGATCACATATGAAGCCGTATGTGATTGTAAACACTTTGAGTGTCGTGGGATAATTTGTAGGCACATGATCCTTGTGTATGACCTCAGTGGAGTCAGCATTGTTCCTGAGAAGTACGTTTTGCGTCGTTGGCGGAAGGACGTGCAACGGAAGCACACACGGGTTAAAGTGGCGTGCCACGATCCATTGAAGACAGATTAGGTGAGACACTATTACAAACTTATGGGTACTTATGAACCCATTTGCTCCAAGGCTTCTACTTGTAAGGAAGGTGTAGATGTCGTTGTAGAGCTTTTGCAATTGATGGATGTGAGAGTTGATGAGGTTTTAGCAATGGTAGCCAAAAAGCGCGAAGAAGCAGCAAAGGAGAGTCCTACAGCTGCTCACACTTAAACTGCATCTACTACTGTTCCACCGCCTCCTCAGTTGGATAGACAAAACAGTAGACCTAAGGGCACATACACACCTAGTGTTGTAGGTTCAGGAATGCCAAACAGTAGCACACCAGGCAGTGCTTTCCAAGGCAGCTGTGAAGGTTCAGCCCTCGGGAGGATGAAAGACCCACCCTTGCCGAAAAAGAAGTCGCATCGAACTACAAATGTACGCTATCCCTCTTGCACAGAGAAGAAGGGGAAAATAAAAGGCTCAGACAAAGGAAAAAAATGCAGCAAGGGCTAGAGCAAAGAAGGCGGCAGCTGCTGCGGCTGTCCAAACACCTCTGTCAATGTCAACTAACGAGTACATTCGGTCAGTTGGAGGAATTAAATGAGAGATGTTGACAAGTCATTAGGGTACTTCACTACGCGGAGTAGAAACTCTGGTGGAGTGTTTGCAAGTCTGCTAGGAGTAACTCCAACTTACAACAGTGTGGGTACCCCAAGTTCCCATCCCCTCCTATAATGTATCTGAAATAATGATTGGACTTTGTATTTTTTAGGATAATTGTACCCCTGATGTGTGTTAATCTTTTTAAGGCATTTTCCTGATATGCAGAACCAGGATTTGTAATTTTCATCCTTATTTTTTCAGTAAAAGGATTTCTAGAAAGGGAGGGTTGTAGTGGTACTTTCTACATAGCCGCAAGTGGCACAATTTTTTTTTTTCATATTTAGTACCAAGGATAATTGGTTGAAGTAACGTGTACTATTACTCCATATAAATGGTATAATTTTAATTAAAAAACGTATAACAAAAAAAAAACATGAATGAGAAATAGGACTAAATCACAACGTTCAAAATATTACTTAATTAGATTCGATCAGAATTAAAACATAAACACATTGTTCAACATTACCATACTGAAACTAAGAGAACGTTCAAACTAAATAGAAATATTAAAGGATTTTCTTCAAAACATAAACTAAAAGGCAAATATTGTTGGCCGTGATTAGAGGTTATCACTTGAGTTTTTCAATGGTTGAAGTTGAGTGACCGTAATCACCGGATTGCTGGCCAGATACTTTTACAAACCACCGATCACACACATGGTACGGAGCATGGGGTATGACGTCTTTGGGGCTGTCGGGGCTCCTCTGATGTACTTGCCACTGCCTCTGCCTGG